GATGCCCAAGCAAAATAGTCTACCTTTGCTGTTCCATTTGCTTTACACAACTGTTAAGTTAGTTGTATAGATAGAAAAGTGTTTAAAAAAAAAAAGGAGGGCACACTTGAATGAGATGATAGAAATGCGGCAACAGCTCAAATAACCTCTCATTACAACCAGTGTAAATAGAACGCCCCTTCTGAATAAAAAACATGTTGAACTTCGAAGCAGGTGTGATTATAGAAAAAAATAAACTGAATTGAATGTTCTATAGCAATAAAAACCAAACCAGGTGTCAAACCTGTGAGCTAAAGATAAGAATCAATATGTACAATTTGAACATTTCTGCAAAATCAGACCTAACAGATTATAAAATGTTACTTGATCAACGTGTCTGCAGTTCAACTGTAAAATTCAGTTGATAAAATCAAAATTTTGGAATTCTACCAAAATCTGAAAAAGCAATTCCATGGTCAAGACTAGATTCACCCTGCAGGTGAAACTGTAGTATGTTAGAGGCAGGTAATACACATATTATAAGGAAATGCAATAAATCAACACAAATGTAATTTTTTTTATCTATTTTTTATGTCTTATAGGTACATGTCTCACACACACACACACACACAAAAATATATACACATATATATATATATAAATATATATATACTAGACCTGTAGATACAGATTATAGAAGAAATCCAAATTATAGAAAAGATGACACACTAAGGCTTCAGAAAGCTCACTACAATGATGTTCAAAATGGACAGAAAAAGCAACAAAAAGCTCAAGATAGATTTAAATGAAGAGAAGATCATAGATTTTTTGCTTAAATTGTAACTCTGCAATTCTCAACATTTTTTTATGTTTTTTGTAGTGGTGTCAATGTGTTCTAACTGATAAATATCAGCACTAATATATATAAAAAGACTGAAGACTTTCATTGATTCATCCAGCTTCTAACAAATTAGCCCTTTACTTTCTAGCGACAATAATTATTTAATTCCATCTTCTTACATTCCAGTTTCAACTTAAGGGGAAACCTTTAGGACTAAGTTCAAACAGAGACTAGTGTTAGATCCCTATTTTTGTCTGGCCATCCATCACACTCTGCATAAATAATTTGTTACATACTGTTCCGAACATTAAGAGTTCACCTTCAAACTCAGATCCAGTCCCTAATCTTGGAAATGTTGTCTACTTGAGCTAATGTGTGATTTCAGATGAGGTGAGACGAAACTGAAGAGTGACTTTTATTCGAGAGGTTGAGTAATTTTCTTTTTTTTCTTTGGACTTCTATTTCATTTTTATCATATCATATATCATATGCAAGCTCAAAAATATTACCTTGAAAAGAAGTACTAAAATTCCTTGCAGTAAATTTTGTTGGCTAGTATTATTTTAGGGTTTAGAGATGGTTCCTTAGTAAATCACATCAACGGAGTTGTAAGGGATGAGCCTGTTTAAAACTAATAAATATGGTAGAAGCCTTATTGGACATGCAGTGTTTGTAAAAAAAAAAAAAAAAGAAGAAAGAAAGAAAAAAACTAAGAGGAGCAAGGAATTATGTGCATAAAAAAATTCATTAAATATTGTCTTTTCTCTGTGATTTATGCCTTATATTTTTATAAAATTTTCACCATTATTTTTATTATACTTTTTAAGCTTAAACCATTCAGTTTGACCATATTGTCTGTTTTTATTATTAAATTTCCTATCAAACATTTTTATTTAAAGTTTCTTCTTTTGACAGTAAATTGTAAAAAAAAAAAAAAAAAAAAAAAAAAAAAAAAAAAAAAAAAAACATTTTCACTCTTCGTCAATCAATAGATGAAAAGTAGGTACAATTCTTCAGGTCCTTATCTGGTTGTAGATTTTTTTTTAACTCTAACAAATAGTGATTTTTGATCAGACGCAAAACAATTAGTTAAGCCGAGGCAAGTTTATTTATATTGCACAATTCATTACAAAGACAATACAAAGTGGTTTACATTAATAAAGCAAAACAGAAGGAAAATAAAAGCCAAATAAAAGCAAGTTAAGATAAAAACATAATGAAAGCAAATAGTTAAGCAAATAAAACAGTAAATAAATCCTCTGTGCTGCAGAACAAGAACAAATAATCACCATCATGCATCATAGTCAAGGGCTGGTGCTAATGTCTGTATAGTTTTCATGAAAATGTCCATGTTTATTTACATCTCTTGGATGATGATAAGCCTTTTCTATTCCTTTTAGAGAATAAAGTTATATCTTTGGATAACCCCTTTAAAATATGCATTGCTTTTTGTGAGGGAAGAACGGCCTGTAACTCTGGCATGAACCTTTTGTGTTTTTTCAATTCAATTCAGTTTATTTCTATAGCACCAATTCACGACACATGTCATCTCAACACACTTTGCAGTTCACCAGATCATACAGTAAAATTGATTCAAAGTTTTCTATCTAAGGAAAACCAGCTGATTGCATCGACTCAGCGACAGTGGAGAGGAAAAACTCCCTTTTAACAGGAAGAAACCTTCAACAGAACCAGACTTAGTGTGAGCGGCCATCTGCCGAGGCCGACTGCGGTTCAAGGAGACAGAAGCAGAGATACAAAAAGCAACTGTAAAAGGCGGCCCTGTCCAGGAAACACACAGCCAGGCAGACAAGCTCTGAGCCAGCTCCCATGTCAGAGGATGAAGAGTCACAGTCAGAGAAACAGGACTACACTGGAAAACAGGCTGATCTCGAATTTCTATAAACAAGGGTGTTGACGGCAGCAGCACAGCTGATATTTCTCTCCAGGATGGTGTCACAGCCAAACAGGAACAGACGAGGCAAAGCTACTATGAGAAAAAGTAGAGAGAGTAGAACGTTGAACTAACAGATTCTGCAGAATGGGAGAATGGAGATAGAATGAAGCAGAATGATGAAAAGGGGTCCCTATGTCCTCCAGCAGTCTAAACCTATAGCAGCATAACTATAGAGATAGCTCGGGATAACCTGAGCCACTCTAACTATAAGCTTTATCAAAAAGGAAAGTTTTAAGCCTAGCCTTAAAAGTAGACAGGGTGTCTGCCTCACGGACTAAAACTGGTAGGTGGTTCCACAGGAGAGGAGCCTGATAACTAAAAGATCTGCTTCCCATTCTACTTTTAGAAATTCTAGGAACCACTAGTAAAGCTGCAGATTGAACGTGAAGTGCTCTGTTAGGAACATAAGGAACAATCAGATCTCTGATATCAGATGGAGCTTGGCCATTTAAGGCTTTATATGTGAGAAGGAGGATTTTAAATTCTATTCTGGATTTAACGGGGAGCCAATGAAGCCAATTGAATGAATTTAATTGAATGATTTTTCTACTTTATTTTTGACATGTTCATTTTGAAATGCTCTACAGCTGATTAAAAAAAAGAAGAGCGACAGAATAAAATTACATTTCAAACTCAGCCCACTGACAAGTTGTTCTACTTTCAGAAGATTCTGAGGGCACCCCATGTGGTCCTTGAGGGCCACTTGGTACTTGGGCACAACGTTGGTGACCCCTGCTCTAAACCTCGTTTGACAAAGAGATGACCTTGCTCCACAAAATATTGTCAAGTGTCTTAAACACAACGTATTAGGTTTCATTTACTTTAAAATGATGACTATTTTAAAGCATGGCATAAAGCTTTATAAACCCTGCTTTGCATTTTTCCAAGCTATATTCTTGATCTATCTGCTGTTTTTTATTCCTCATGACCGTATCTATTAACTCATGTTCTCCAACAAACATAGTCCCTCAAAGAACAACTTTATGTATACATATATTTATTTAGCACTCTGATAAACTTTGCACAGTACATTTTAAATAAATCAAGCGCAGTACATTTTAAATAAATCAAAATAAAAAGGGTGTAAAAATATGTGCATCCCGTGTTTTTTTTAGATTTAGAATAGGCACAAAAAAAAAGCTTTAACTTCTTAGTTAAAATTCAAACAAAAATCATTGACTTGTGTAGAAAAATTCCTGACGTATGAAAAATTCTCCATGGTCTGTACAGCTAAAAGCATAGTACTAGCAGGATATTATAGTGAAACCATTCTATATATTTTCTGAGAAAACGAGTACATTAAATGAAAGCTTTTTGAATCCAGTGTTCTTTTCTCTGTCTGAATATTACAGTTGGCCATATAAGGAGCTGAGGTGTTGCCCTGCACCTTCATGGTAGACACAGAGGTCCAATAAGCCTTTTTCTATCAATCTCTGAATTCCACTCACTGCCTCTTTGGGTCCTGTAATCATTGCATAATGCATATTCTACATATTCTACATGTCAGCCTCACATTGCTGGTGAAATCCCTCAATTTATGGACCAGCTCAAGAGGATTCACCCATTGAGGAATTTCTGCAGCACCAGGTCATTATCTAATAATAAAACTCTGGTTCCTTTTTTTTTTTTTTTAAGCCGCCGTTGGAGCTCTTGATGTTCTTTCTTCTGACCCCTTGGATTTAACATGTAGACTGATGTTAGAGGCAAAAAAACAGACTCTAACAGGGGCCAATGTAATTCCACAATAATTCAGCAGGGCTTTCAGAAACATATTTATGTTTTTGCATTTCCTATATCCATATATATATTTTTTTTGTCTCTAAGATATTTAATTCATGAGGATGTCTGTCTGGCTTTGAACCATATTTATCCTTTGATTCATTTGTTGTACATATATCTGGTAACTTTACTGTCCAAAATATCTTCCAAAAACCATGAACCTTTGGGAGACCATGCTGTTTGCTAGTGGCCAGCTTCCTCTGGAAAAACACCTGTGGGGAAACTCTACAGGATAAACCAGTGATTTACACCAATGCATAATCCCAACAGGACAAATTCTGGGTCAAGCGCCCGCCTGCCCTCCTACGCTCCCCTTCAGTCTCAGGTGAGCAAGAAAGTCAGCTGGCAAGTAACGGGTTAGTGTCTGATCTCTCCCCTACACCTCCTTGTTTCAACCCTTCACCCCCCCCTTCATCTTAGAGGGATATATATTGGAGGTCGTGACTCGTCTTCATCTGAGGAATCACTTCTAGACGGACATACACAGACGTCTCTGGTTCATTTTGAGGGATCTGACTGACGAAGAGCAGAATACTAATCATGACAACTTTTTTAAAAGTTCTTGTGCTTCTCTTCTGCATCGCCAAGGGAGAAGGCCACTGGCTGAGGTCACTGATAGGTAAGTAGTGATGGTGTGAACAATTGCTTTAAGTTTCACTGAAACAAGTAGAGAAATTGCTTATCAGATTTATCAATATGTCTGTCCTTCTTTTGCAGGCCAGAAGCAGAAAACTCTATTGTCTGCAGATGAAGAGAGAAGAAGCAGATCTTTAACTGTAGAAATCCAAACGGAAGCATCTGGAGCTGAGCCATCTCTCATCCCCATCGTCTCAGTCCCAGTCCGGACACGACGCTCAGCTCCTGACTCCCAGTGCAGCCTGCGCTCCATCTTGCTGCAGGTTCGAGACTTGGGCTTAGGCTACAACTCAGATGAGATGGTCTTATTTAAGTACTGCAGCGGGACCTGTCCCCGCGCTCGCTCCAACCATGACCTCACACTCAGCAACCTGCTGCTCAGCGGACTGCTCCCACATCCCACTCCTGGGGAGCTGTGGCACAACACACCATGCTGCAGGCCCACCCATTACGAGGACATCGCCTTTCTCGATAACTCCCACCGCTGGCACAAAGTGGAGAAGCTGTCTGCTGCAGGCTGCAGCTGTGTAGATTGAACAGTTGGACTAGTAGGGTGGGTGAGAGTTCTAAAGATATTTGCTGAGACACAATTGTGTCTCAGTAAACAAATGTATTTCCTAGAAGAAAAAACAAAAACAATTTTTGCAGTGAAAACCCTCAAAATTTAATTTCTATTGTTTATGTTTTAGGACTCACATTTCTGTGTTTGCATTGAGCTTTAGTAAAAGACAAGGAAATGACATTTTTACCGGCAGCATTGCTTTGTGAGTTCATGTTATTCAGAATTAGGACTCAACAACATTCAGGGTAAAACTGAACAAATGTTTTAACTTGAATTACAACAGATTTGTAAATAAGCTAATATGTATTTATTTCAAACCTAAAAAAAAACTGTAATTGACAAAATAACTATAAAGCCTTTAAGATGTGTGTTTTGCAAACAATGAATTAAGGTCTTGAATAGTTCAGCTACTTAAAAAGTGTATATATATGTAAAAACAGAAGCTATTTATTTATTTAATGTTTTTTTTTTTACTTGAAGATTAATTTATTTGGTGATGTATTCATTTCTATGTAAATTCTATCAATTTTTTTGCCTTATTTTAAAATGTATTAAACATAATGTGTTTCAATCAGTGTGATGTGTTTTCTATCAAGCTTAAACCATTAGATTGGATTTCTCATAAATGTATAGATCAATGAAAAGATGGATAGATCGATCCAAGGTATATAGTTAAAAATTGGTCAGCCAATCTGAGTAAATATAAGTTTCCGTTTAGATTGAGCTCTGAACCACAGTCTGCCATTTGCTTTATTTCTTTCTGCCCAAAAAACAAAAACTGTGAAATTGAGTTTTTTTCCTTTTGGTCAATATCATCATAATCAAATGATTTTTAATTTGTCTGGCAGGATTAAGGATATATCACTTCCAGATTAATATATTGTTCATTATGTCCTGAAGCAAAGCCCTGTGCTTGCATGAACATGTGTTTAAAAAAAAGAAAAGAAAAAAAATACAGATCACAGCCAACAGGAACTTCAATATCTCAAGATAAAATATTTAATTTCTTTTACAGCAAGACGTCACATTTTTAACAGAAAGGAATTTTGCCTCCAAAGGCTTCCAGTGAATTCCATTCATAATTTCTAACTGGCCTGGATGTCTTCCTCTGCCTCCTCTGGTTGTGCCCCCCACACCTGAACCCGGCCCTCCATTGCAGTGAGGAGGCGGGTCTCTGTGGGGTGGAAAGACAGCGACTGGACGACTGCTTTTCCCACCGGCAACTTTAATGATAAAGATCCCTGCAATTCATTCAGGCAGAAATGATGTGGTCAGATTTCTGCTTTGAGGTTGAGAGACTCTTACAGGTCACATGCACTTTTAAAGTGTTACTGGATTTTACAATTACACAATTCACATGCAATTATATCCCTAAATCTAGATATACAGGATGACAGTAAGGCTCTGTAGCACTGTGGAGGGTTGTTATAGACAGGTACTTACTTCCACCAGGTCCCAGCAATACACGTGTCCGTCCTCTGAGCAGCTCAGGACATGGGTGTCCTTACTGGACAGACAGCAGTCTAACTTGTAGCCCTTCATCTTGTGTCCAGTATATCTAATGGAAAAAACAGAAGATAGTGAAAATTTTAGAAAAGCAAAACATGCTTTTTAAATTACTGATCAAATTATTCTTGATCTGGCTTGTTGTAATTTTTTCAGAATCACTTCTTAGGATTTTCTATTCTGCTCCAAAAATGCTGTTTTAGCACAATAGTAATTCTGGAGGCCCTTTCCAGGCCTGGCACACTGTAACAGATGGTGACATTTTTTATTTCTTTTATTTAGTCTGATTGCAAATGAGCCCTGACTGGATCTTAAAAAGCTGTTAACTATGCCAGAGTAAAATGTGAAAATTAATTTTCATGAAACTAGGCTTAAAGAAAATCTGTCAATAAAATACCTTTTTTTATGATAAGTTATTACCAGCAGTTTTATCTGCAAGGTGTCTCAGTAAAACGGATTTCTAACATACTAGCTTTAGGAAGATGATACACATAGAATAAAGCCAGAGATTTGCATAATCAGACTTGAGTAGACTATGGGATATTTTTTGGTTTGCTTTACAGTCTGACCAGTAAGTTCTTACTTTCATTTGTAACGAGTATAACATACGCACTTCTGATACAGCTGACAGGAACACAGACAATAAGGTCTTTCAAAAAATAATCTCTTCTTGGTTTGAAGGTTTTACAACAGACCTCTTAACCTTAGTTTTAAATGTTCATTTAATGTTGGTTATCGTGTTTATATGTTGAGTAATGTTCATTTTTAAGTACTTTGAGTGCACAGGGTTTATACAGGAATGAGCAACTCTTAATCTAATGCTTTTTATTCTCTTAGAAATAACTTAAATGCCATCAACAAGTATCCATGACTCTCATATATACACAGCAAATTCCTTCTTCAGCTTTACCGTCGGCAGGCTGCCATTCTCTAGCTTTTCTCCGCCTCGACCTTCTTTTCAGAACATACGGCTTTACGATCAACCGGAAGCAGTTCCGCGCAAATATGCAAATATATATATATATATATATATATATATATATATATATATATATATATATATATATATATATATATATATATATCGTTTAATAAATTGTTTTTATAAACATTTTTTCTAAATAAAGCATTTTAAGTGCCAAAATAATCACATTAAATTAATTTTAATGCCAATTTAATTAAAAAAATATATATTTATTGACTTTTAATGATTTTTAATGACCCACGAGGAACCCTGTTTGCGTGTAAAGTGCTTCATAAATTAAATGTACTATTACCGTCATTGAATGTATGTCTGTGTGAAGTTGCTTTTAATTCAAAGGTTTGTGTCTTTATAACATATATGTTTTAAGTTTATATTAGATAAACAATGCTTTTCGTTTTCCTGATAGCTAACGTTAAGTCAGTGGTGAGAACAAAAAGATCTAAACTGACTCTCCAAGCATTTCTCCGGTGCTCTTGTCCAAAAGTCGAACTGTTGAATCTAAACTGGAGCTCAGGGTGCACTGCCCGTCCTGACTGAAGCACACACATGTAATGGGACCTGGAACAGAAGAGTATTCAGAGTTTACCGACTTCTGGAAAAGAAAACACTTATCGACATAACAATAGGAAATATGTTTTGTTTTTATTTCTCCTGCTCTGTAAAAGTGTAACTGAAATGAATTTACTAACTGCTGATGAAGTCAACGTGAAGCTGTCCCATCCTGAGGTCATAACGCCTCACTCTGCCATCCACCGACCTACGCAGAAGATGTAGGTTATAAAAATTACATTGTCAGTAATTCAAAGTCATAATTATACTAAGACTCTACAGGGAGCTGTTTTTTGTGTGCAATAAACGTATTCATTTCATATTCATTTTTGATATGCTGACCCAGTGAGTAGCTCATGTTGTGAAACTTTAAGGCTACTAATGCTGTCGCGTGCCTCATCTAGAACCTGGATGGGCTCATTTTTTCTGGATCTGGTGTCCCAGCATCTCACCGTCCCATCTATAGAGCCTGAATGATGAAATAAAAAAGTCAGAGTACATTAAGCTGAAATAAAAAAAAAACAAAGTACACTAGAAAACACGAAACATGAAAAAAGGTACTGAAAGAATACAATCTCCATCGTCAAAGTTAAAGGTTTAAAAATTAAGGAAATTCACATACTGAGAAAATTACATAAAAAATCTAATTGCATAAATGGCCCATTAACTCTATCAGTGTATCATCAATGAAAACACATTCCTCTCCTTACCTATAAATCTTCAGTAACCTTGCATCACCTCCATATATTAACGGTCTTATCCGTCCCTTCATGTTCTCTTCATTCCTCACACTTCATGCTCCTAAATATACATCCTGCCCATCTAATCACTACAGAGTCCAGAGTAGTTTAAACTCTCGACATTCAGAGCATTACAGCACTCCTCCTTTCTGCAATTGTTTCCTAATGTTTATAATTTTTAATTTTGCACTTTTTAAACCTCATCTAAAATCAAATCTGTTTAGAAAAGCGTTTAGTACTCAACCTACCTTGATTTATAGGGAAGCTAACTTGTTAACCTGATTTTTAGTTTCTATACTGTTTTTAATGATGTATTATTGCCTTTTGCTGCCATTTTTATTGTTGTTTTATTGTATAATTTCTTTAAGCACCTCATAATAAAATGTATCATTACTAAGTACAACCTTTAATCTGTATCCCAAAAATACAAAAAAAAAAAAAAAAAGGCAACACTCCAAAGTACATAAATGTGGTGGACATTTTCCACAAACCAAAACTCACCTGATAATATGACTGTTGCCTCCTCATTAAACTGCACACAGTTAACTTTCTGTAAAAAGACAATTTTACCAAGAAATGAGGAAAATCTATCACAGGATAGATTTAAACACAAAGATAAAAGGAGCAGAACTCACCCCAGCATGTCCTCTGAGCTTGCGTGTGACTTGGCCGGACGCAACATCCCATAGGATCACTGTTTTATCAGAACTACAGGAGCAAAGCTGACTGTTGTCATAGGAACTGTCGAAAAAGAAAATAAAGAAAATAGCTGTTAGTGCCAGCAGAGGCAGAGGCTTATGTTGAGTGTTGGATGTTTTGCTTGTTGATTAAATTGGATAGTTAGTTAAAGAATGTTGCCAGCTGGATCTTTGGCTGGATGTTTTCTGCTTTGCCATGTGTTCTTTAATTCATTCTCTATATTTTCTGAATCCCTACCGTTTCCATCGTGTGTATAAACCCTCCTCACCTATCAGCATCCAGAACCTCATATCCATGCCCACTGTACGTCTTCAGCAACGTCCCTCGGCCAACACTCCACAACTTTAGAGATTTGTCACTGCCACAGGACATCAGGTAGTTTCCATCAACTGACCAAAGGGACAAGATACAGATAATGATGGTATGGCTTTATTTGGACAACTAAATGTAGAGTTAACCTTTTATAGGGCACTCAGTGAAATACTTTGAAAATCATAATTTCAAGCCAATAGTGTTACTGGAATCCAGGACCTTATTACTTTTGTAAAATTTAAATTATATGGATATTTTGATGGTAAAAATGTATGTCAATGAAATAAAAAGAAACGGCAACTTGCGTGAATATATTAAGAAGAATAACAAAAGTGCTTCTATAAGAAATTCATGAAAAACACTCTGAGAGTGAAAGAATCTTTTTTTTTGGTACAACATAACCTTAGAAGCATTAATGTTGATACTGGCACTTACATTTTTTTAGTTTACAAACCTAAATATAATTGTTAACTAGGCTTATTAGTATTTTAACTTTACTTTTTAACTTTTCAATTAGCTTTTTACCTTTTTTTCTTGACTTGTTAACTTTTTCAAATTAATTTACAGTAGCTAATATATCATTCAAGGGCTCCTCTAATTGGTGAAATGCCAAAATAAGATGTACAGCCAGGTAGCAGGATATTTGCTGAATGGCTGGATAGATCTTGTGCTTCTAGACCTCACTGAGGGACGGGGGGGGGGGGGGGGGGGGGGGACTCCATTTGT